CCCCAACGACACCAAGACAGTTTTTGAGAAATCCAGATATTGTTAGAAACAGTATGTTGAAGTGTTTGATTATTTAGTTGCATCTCGCCTGAGCATGGAAGAGATATTAACATACTGTCAGCTTACAGGGACATAACCCAAAATAGCTTACATATTTTCATATAGGGCTAATTATTTTTCTGAGGCTGGCTCAGGGTGCTAAGAGAGAGATTTCAAGGCTTTCAGCAGAGTATTTACTTAAAGAAGGTAAGCATGCCATTATCTGTTCCCAGGGAAACACAGTAAGTAATGGAAGAGACAGAGGAGGAGGTCACTCTGACCATAATTAATACAAAGACTAATGGTTTATATAGGATCTAGTCAAGGGTGCAGCAAGGTGCTGTAATGCCTTTAAGCCTCTTCTTCAGCAGTGCAATTTAATCTTTGGATCAATTTATATACACTTTGGTAATTTTAGTAGCCTAGTGCTAAGTTCTGAAATGGAATTTAATCTTGCTTAGCAGAGTTTTTTCCACGTTGTCATTTTGGTTTTGATCCAATCAGAAAATCCCTGTAACAGAATTTTCCTAAGGTCCTGAGCAAGCATAAACTGATACCTACACTGGCCTTGCCCTCGTGGAGGCCACAGCTCTCCTCACATGGCTTCACTATGAATAGCTGATTGGTGAATGAATGAATGATAATCCAGAGGCATCCCTGGATTCAGCAGTGCCTTTAAAATCACCAAAGGAAAATTCAGTTGTGTTCAGAATAGTTTACATTTAAAGTGTCTTCACTGTATTCTTTTTTTAAAAATTTTATTGAAAATTGGTAATCCACATGTTAGCTAAATATTCTATTTATTGGAACACAGTGCAGTCCACAGGGATTCCTACAAAAAGATGCATGCTGTTGTTTATTTTTAATCCTTCTTATTTGAATAGTGGATTGGTTGTGCCGTCTCTCAGGGGTCAGTTTTATCACAGAAGCTTGATTATACATTGTTCAAAACTGTTTACTTTAATACAGTGTCCTAGAAAGAATGATAGAGAGAAATGAAAGGGTGGTCCTTTTAAGTTTCTGAATTTTGAATACACTGAGAAATGATGTTAAGTTAGAAATTATTAGGATTTTGTTTCCTTTAGAGCTCTGGTCCAAGAAACTAATCTAGCTTCTTCCAGGAAGCTTCATCTGAGGGGTGGATGACGCTGAATACTGTTTACAAACAGGTGACCACAAGTTAAGTGGAGTCAATATATAATTTCTCACCCTTTAGAAGAAAACCACTTTGCTGCCACATGAGTAACCAACATTTTCTTTGCAAATATCAAGCTTGAAATTATTTAATAAGGAATGTAAATCAGTTATATGCCCCAATTATAAAAACGTTGATGGGATTGGCTATGGTATAGATTTGGGGGGGGATGGGGGGGATGGAGTTACAGCTGCTGGGGTTTTTTCATCTTTTTTTATATGATGATATCACATTCGTATTCCAGACATGCAAATGACACTGCATCCTACTCGGTAGGAACAGTGGTCAGGGCTTAAGCCAAGAATAAGAAATGTCAGCAGTGCCATTCCACAGGCTTATAAGAGAAACCCTAAAATAACGGATGGTACACTTCCCTATATGTATTTATGTTCAGAAAATTTATTGAAATGTTGCTGGCACATGCTTTATAGCTGCTTGCATTTTGCTACACAGATTTCAGCATATCTTGCAGACTATGCAATTCATTTGGAAAATGTGATTTCCATCCCTGCATACTAATCGATTTCTTCACAAACACCTGCTATCAGTTATGATAATAAAAATGCCACTCTGAATTGAGAAAGGGCCAGATAGAGCTTCCTAAGGAAATGACTTAAGTGTCTTTGAATGCTACTAAATGTAGTAATGTGCTTCTGTAGCGCCAACACTTTTTCCATCATTTGCATTTTCTGTAATTTTGCCCTATTACAACATCCCTCTCTTAAATGATGCCTCATAACCATTTCCTTAGGGGTTGGTAAACTGAATTGTCAGGAGTTGGTACCTCAGGGTGTGGACAAGATCTGAAGTTGGGCTGTGCAGTGTTGAAAAAGCACTAGCTCATACTCCTGGGTATACCATGGGTCGTTTACGATTTTTTTTTTTTTTTTGCGGTACACGGGCCTCTCACTGTTGTGGCTCTCCCATTGCGGAGTACAGGCTCCGGACGTGCAGGCTCAGCAGCCATGGCTCACGGGCCCAGCCGCTTCGCGGCATGTGGGATCTTCCCAGACCGGGGCACGAACCCGTGTGCCCTGCATCGGCAGGCGGACTCTCAACCACTGCGCCACCAGGGAAGCCCCATTTCCGATTTTATGTCCCTGAAAACTGTAAAATTGGCAGTTCCTCTGTTTTGCACACACATATACACCAAATAAAATTTCCTTTATTCAGCCTCCAGTTCATTCCATGCACCATTGCCAAACCAATCTTCCTAAATCACCAATTGCATCACGTCCTTCTGCCGCCTGGGCACCTTCAGTGGATCTCAGTTGGCCTCCCCATTTGACCCTACCTCTCCAGCCTGACTTCTGAACCTCCATCCTCTCTCATCACCCAGCATGGCTCAGCTTTCTCTCAACTGCTTCCAGACAGACTCTTGCCTTTTGGTCAAGCTTCTCTGCTTCCTGCCCCAAATATTCTATCTTCAGTTCTCATCTCTGGGCTTTGCTTCTGCTCTTGCCCTTGAGTGAGGTGCCCTTCCCCAGTTCTTGGGCTTTCACCCTTCAAAGCCCTCTTTTTTTTTTTTTTTAAGTAATTAATTTATTTATTTTTGCTGTTTTGCGTCTTCATTTCTGTGCAAGGGCTTTCTCTAGTTGTGGCAAGCGGGGGCCACTCTTCATCGCGGTGCGCGGGCCTCTCACTGTCAAGGCCTCTCTTGTTGCGGAGCACAGGCTCCAGACGCGCAGGCTCGGTAGTTGTGGCGCACGGGCCCAGTTGCTCCGTGGCATGTGGGATCCTCCCAGACCAGGGCTCGAACCTGTGTCCCCTGCATTAGCAGGCAGATTCTCAACCACTGCGCCACCAGGGAAGCCCCAAAGCCCTCTTTTATTAATCCAGTCTACCTTTTCCTTTCTCTTCTCTGAATTCCTGTAGGATGGATTCCCTTGCAATAAACTTTGACAGTAATTAGTCACTTGTTTATTTATCCAACCAACATTTATTGAGTGCCTACTATATGCCAGGCATCAGGCTCTTCTCTCTTGCTTTGAGTGTGTTCCTTTCAAACATGTTGGTTTCTATTATATTTCAAGCTCCTTGAGAGAAGAGACATACTCTGTCTCCTTGTCTTGTGATCCAAGATGCCCAGACAGGCTTGGGCATGGAGTACATATGCAGTAACTGCTTGTCGACTAATTGATCCCTGATGGTTTGAGGTAGGGAATTTTCTGGTTAATTGCATGTTCTATTTGATTAGTATTTCAGTGTGTACTATACATAATCATTTTGCAAAGTAGAATACCATAAAACACTCAACTATAAAACTACTATTAACGTAATTTGATGGTTGATATTTAAGGAGAGAACTCACTGGGGTTTCAGAGCACCTCCGTACAGATCTGTCACCATTGCGCGGTAATGTGTGGGTGGAACATCTGAGAGGCTGACCTCGATTTGGCTCTGGGATTGGGACTGGATATGGTGTGGGGTGCGGAAATGATCCTGGACCGAGAACCTGCTGGACAGGGACTCCGCGCCATGCCCTTACCAACCGGAAGTTACTGCTTTAAAGAAGCTTCTGATAAGAAGCTTTTAAAATATCTTCACCTTTCTCTTGCTTACAAAAGTAGAGAATGGATTTTCTGAAGGAGGCGGGAAGAAAGCATGGGAAACTGGTGAGAAAGTAGGGGGGGAGCATTTGGAGTTCTTTTCAAACAGTCTGGTATGAACTAAACTCATCTGGCTGGCAGAATATCCCAGTGACAGGGAGCAGAGACTCTGGAGCCCAATCTGGGTTTGAAGGCTGTTGATGCTACTCTCTTTGTGGGATCCGACAAGTTCTCTAACTTCCCTGAGCCTCATTTTTCTCATCTCTAAAGAGGGGGTGGTTAGGAGCAGCACCCACATCAGAGGCTTGATGGGGGGATGAAGTGAGGTAGTTCATGGTCCAGTGTCTGTTGTACAGAGAGTACTTCGGAACCTCTTGTGATTATTGCAGAGATCACCAAGCAGTAAGCTGGAAACTAGGGAAGGGAGTCGCCATCCTCAATTTTGTTTTGAACCATTCACTCTGTTCTATTCCATTTCAGTTGTTTTTGGAGCCTTGAGATGCGTAAGACCCTGAGTGAAGTGTCTCGGTTTCTCAGTCAGGTGGAGATGTGAGTGAGCTCTGAATCTGCACGTAGAGAATTTCGGGTTTCAGGAAGGAGTATTAGGGTAGGAATCTGTTGGTGAAACAGATGGAATCAGGTCAGCATTCTGATAGGAGTCAGAGGGAACTAACTAACCAACTGACTGACTCATGCAGTCAGTCTGACCCGGCAGTAGAGCTGGAAGGAACAGTGTGTGTGTGGATCAATCCCCAGCTCCCCTGGGCGGCTGCGGCTGCGTGCCTCCATTGGGGGGCAGCTGATAATTTGAAAGAAAGTGGCCCTCCAAGGAGCTAAGCCGTCCTGCCTTCCTGCTGAAAGGGAAAGGGCAGCCACGAGGTAGATAACGACGATTGCCTGGAGTTCTGAGCACTCTCATCACCTAGCAACACGGATCAGTTTCTGAGAGGGAGCCTAGGATCGGGGAAGAGATCAAGAGACAAGAATTTGGGAGGAGTCAATCCTGTGCCCACAATCGTACATAAGACAGGACAAATAGAATAGCGAAAAATTCCCAAAGAAGCAATGCTCACCAGCTGCAAAATAAAGCACCCCAGGGTAGCTCATTTGGGTTTGGTACAAACGTTAAGAATCCGGTTTAGAATCCCTTTCGCACTGAAGGCTGTCCATCTAAGCGAGAAGGTCACTCACTTGAACTCATTCTGTTTGCCCCGCAGCCCTGGCCGCCCAGGCCTATGCGCTTAAAGAAGAGAACGACAGCCTCCGGTGGCAGCTGGACGCCTACAGGAACGAAGTGGAGCTGCTGAAGCAGGAGAAAGAGCAGCTGTTTCGAACGGAAGAAAACCTGACCAAGGACCAGCAGGTGCAGTTCCTGCAGCAGACCATGCAAGGCATGCAACAGGTACCTGCGCCCACATTGGTGTCTTTGTTCTCGAGAGAAAGGGACGTGCGTATGCAGTGGCGGCTGTTTGCTGGGAAAGGTGGAGGAGAAAAAAGAACAGCAGAAAAGCTGAGTGGCTAGGTCAGGAAAGTGATGATGACTGTGGAAGGGGAGGGTCAGGGGAGAAGCCACGCTAAAGAAATAGGTTGAAGCACTACACCCTCGAAGTGGGAAGCAAAGGAAGAGAATCTTGGAGTTTGAAAGCTCCGTACATAAAATTTAGCCTCATGGCAAAAGGTCAGAAAATCCTTGCCAGTTGTGACACCAGTGTTCTGTAATCTTAGAACTTCTCAACTTAAAAGCAGGCAGACCGATTTCTACAAAAGCGTGGCGAGTTTGTTTTTGAGATCGATGAATACGTAAACTGTATCATTTCCATTTCTCTTGGATGATACTTAGGATGTAGACCGGCTCTCTGAACACACTGTGTATTTCAGAAATGTTGGTTGATGGGATGGATGAAGCACTAAAATTTGGGGCGATAGGTAACTTCAGAAACAGGCCAGCATCTCTGCTTTTGTTAAAGATCGACAGGCTTCATCCTGGCACACTCACGTTAAAGCTGGGTCTTTCCAGCTCATGTAAGAAAGAGATAGAAGCTGTGGGCTTTGGAGGAAGCGGAAGGAATGTGGTCTGTGGGAAATGAGGGCTTGAGGGGGTGGGAAAAGACTGGGCACTGGCAGAGGGTAGAATCAAAGAGTCATAGCTGGGTTTATATCTGAAAACATTGACTGATATGTGATACTCTTAAGGTGTGTGAGTTATCTTAGAATAATATAGCCTAAATTATCATCACACATGGTTATTTGTATTACTCCTCTGAGTATATAAATCTAACCACTCTTTTCTGGAAAAAAAGATTGTTCTCTATAAACAAGGAAGATATAAGCAAGATGATGGGCAATTATATAGTGAGTAGGATAATTTTTTCGAATTCCCCCACCAATATTGACTGCTCTCTAAGAGCAGGAGCCTGAATTGCCTACAAAAGCGTCTCGATGATTAGAGGTAACTGCTGCTGCTAAAACCTCCGCCAAGCAGGGAAAAAATAATTGAGAGGAAGGGATGTAAGAAAGCGTGGATCGGGATACGAAGAAGTTAATGACCAAGTCACAGAAATTCTGCCTTAAACATCGCCTGCCATTTAAAAGCCATTTTGGCGTCTTGGCTTTGAGTCCTAACTCGCTGATGCTCACGGTGTGTGTTAGACAAATCAGCGAGATTCAGAGGTCAGACCCAGCCAGGAAAGTGTCATTACAGGCGGGGCTCGGGCCCCCCCGCACTTGGAAATCGGTGTTAACAGCCGCCGCCGGGAGCTCCCGGGGCTTGTCCATCTGTCCGCACGTTGGGGGTGAGTGGCGCCTTGCCAGGAGGAGGAGCGTCCGCTGTCTCTCATACCTCATGCGTCGGGCCCTCTTTTCCTCCAGGAAAGATGACTCTGGTTGCATGAAAAGTTGATATAAACCTTTAAGCTGTATATATAAGTCCACGCCACTCTCTCTTCGTCCCAGCTGACCCTCCCCCTCCCCGTGTCCTCAAGTCCTTTCTCAACGTCTGCGTCTTTATACTACCAAATGTAAAATAGATAGCGAGTGGGAAGCAGCTGCATAGCCCAGGGAGATCAGCTCGGCGCTTTGTGACCGCCTAGAGGGGTGGGATAGGGAGGGTGGGAGGGAGACCAAGAGGGAGGGGATATGGGGACATATGTATACGTATAGCTGATTCACTTTGTTATACAGCAGAAACTAACACAGCATTGTAAAGCAATTATACTCCAATAAAGATGTTATAAAAAAAAAACCTTTAAGCTGGTTGAAGATTCAAATCTGAAAGAAGTCAGGAGGCGAGGGTGAGCTAGCCAATCAGGAAGAATCATGCGGGGTGTCAGCGCCCCGCCCCAGTCCGCACTGGAGCCCCGCTGTGCATCCCCACGGAGCTCCAGCCCCTTAAAGGAGCAGTTCCGTTCTCACGGCTTCTCATACATTTGCAGAATCTCCTTGTCCATAGGAAATGTACCTTACTGTGTTTGTTTTGTTTGAGTGGGAATTTTGTTTGGGGGTTTGTTTTGGTTTGTTCTGGTTTGGTTTAAACCACAGAAAGTTACTGTCTCACAGTTCTGGACCTAGAAGTGCAAGAGCAGGGTGCTGGTAGGGTTGGTCCCTCTGTGGGCGGCGAGGGAGAGTCTGCTCCGGACTTTCCTCTTTCCTCCTCAGGTTTGCTGGCGAGCTTTGTCCTTCCTTGGCTTGTAGACGCATCACCCTGCTTTCTGCCTTCGTCTTCAGATGGCCTTCTCCCCGCGTGTGTGCCTGTGTCCCAATTTCCCCTTTTTATAAGGTCACAATTTGTATAGGATTAAGGGGCCCACACTATTCCAGTATGACCTCATCTTAACTAATGACATCTGCCGTGACCCTGTTTCCAAATAAGCTTGCATTCTGAAGTACAGGCTTTAGAACATCACCATATAAATTTGGGGGGACACAATTCAATATTTGTTGAATGGAGGAACGAATGGACAAAGACAGAGGCAAGAACTCGCCTGGTGCCTCTGGGGAGCTCGGGGTTGTTTAGGATTCTTGGATCATAAAGGGCAGGGCAGGGTGTGGGGAGAGGTGATGCCCTAGGGGTCCGTGTAGCACCTCCTTAGCACATGGAAAGCACTAGCGCAAAGGCAGCAGTTATGATTTCCATTTTCACTAGTCGTTAGCTGGATGCACGGCGATCACTGTGGCAACACATCTTTAATATAGTTTTTAAATATATGTGCTCATTTAAGAGTCATTTTTCTACCTTACCCGCTTTGAGTGAATCCCCACAACTTGCCAGTTTGAGCCCCACTGCAAAGAATTCCCCTGACTTTAAAACCCACCGTCAATCTGCCCTCTGTCCACTTTATAAGTCAGAAAAGCATCGTCTCCCAGGCAAGTCAACAGATAGAGGAGAGGGCTGGTCTCTCATAGGTCATTGCTTTAGCAATCCATATAGGGGAAATTATTTCTGCAACAAACAAGAATATAAACAGTCTTAACAGCCTTAAGACTAGCATAAAATTTTTAGAATTGCCTTCATGTTTAGCCAAAAAGTTTCTAACCTTTCTTCTTTTCATCCCTGAAGGATATGTTCACTGACTTCACGTGGCTTCTCATGAGTTCATGGAGGAAACTTTAAGGGCAGGGTTCTGAAAAATGAAAAAGCCTCGGGTGACTTTGTCTGGTTGTTTCTTAGTCTCCCCTTGCCTTGCATGTGAGTCACAATTTAATATTAGAGGTTTCACGCAAAAGGAAATAATAGCTTGTATCCATGGTAACATGGTAGCCTTAACCTGATCTGAAGCTGGCAACAGAGTTAACCTGTCTCTGCCACAGGGAGAGTCAGGTTGCAGGCTTTCGTTTATATCTTTAGGTATCCAAGACAAGCATACCCATATTTGAAATTCTTATTTACCTTCAGGTTACCACACTGAATTATTTTCTTAGGTCGATCGAGGTAAAATTTACACACAATAAAAATACTCTTGTGAGGGTTCTGTGAGTTTTGACAAATTCATACAGTCATGTAACCATCACTACCACAGTCAATATATAAAATAATTCCATCACCGCCCCCCAAAGTTCCCTTATGCCCCTTTTTAGTCCACCCCACTCCCAGCAACCACTGATTTGTTTTCTACCCTTATGGTTCTGCCTCTTCAGGAAAGTCATATAAGTGGAATCGTACTGTGTACAACCTCTTGAGCCTGGCTTCTGTCACTCAGCATAACGAATTTGGGATTCATCTGTGTTGCTGTATGTGTCTGTTGTTCGTTCTTTTTATGCTGAATGGCATTCCATGGTAAGGAAGGGCCATGCTTTGTTTATCTAGTCACCAGTTAATGGACATTTGGGTGGTTTCCTGTTTGAGGCCAATATGAATCAATCTGCTATAAACAGTCACTTACAGGCTCTTTGTTTGGACATAATTTTTCATCTCACTTGGGTAAATACCTAGGGGTAGGATTGCTGGGTCATATGGTAAGTGTGTTTGACATTTTAAGAAAATGCTAAACTGTTTTCCAAAGCGTCTTCCCATTGTGCTCTCCCGAGGGTTTACACGAGAATTACAGTTGTTCTGTGTCCTTATCAGCCAGCACTTGGAATGGCCAGTTGGTTTCTGTTTTATTTTACTCGGTCTTTTTTAGCCACTGTAATACGCGTATAATAGTATCTCGTTATGGTTTTAACCACACCTGAATTTAAACACGATCTGTATTTTTATTCACGAGGATAAGTCAGTATGTCATATTTCTAAATAACCAACTTAAAAATCAGAATTCTTTTTGAAGCCATGCGTAAATCATATTGGTAGGACTGGTAAATATTTAGATGATAAGCGGATACCATTATAAGCTGCTGGTTATAAAACTGTGAGTGACTAATGATGATTATGTCAGAAGGGTCCCTCATACATACTTCCAGTGATGCTGTTTAATGCTGTTAGCAAATGTCATCTGAAGGCCAGCTGTCTTAGGCCAGTAAACCATTAGCCCACGTAGAACTCTCTAACACTCTTGGCTTGCCATTAGTAAAGACCAGGGCTAGTCAGCTGTCTTGACAATTTTCAGCAAGGGAGACCAGGAAAAAAAATTGGGGGAAAGAGGACTATTACGACCAACACCATTTTAGAAATTAAGTAATTGGTTTTTTTCCCTTATGCTCAAGGAGGAGTAGATGTGGGATTCTCTGTATATGTATTACAAAAGCTCATCTAGACTAATTTTATAGAAGAGGACAGAGAAATACAATAATGTTACTTTCTTAAAATACAAAGTAACCCCAGCTAGTTTTACCAGAAGTTGGTCAAGGATTGGCCTTTGGGATATATATTAAGAAATAAATGAAAGTGTGTTGAGAACATCAGTGAGTGCATCTATCTGACCACTTAAGGAAAGTTAAGCATCTCTTGTGAAATCTCCTTTAAACGAT